TCAGTGGGGCAGGAGGTCTGGGCAACAGTGATGTGTGTGTGTATGTGTGTGTAGGTGTCAGTATGGTGGGAGGCCTTAGGACCCTCACTGAGTGTGTGTGTGTGTTGGAGGGTTGTTGAAAGGGAAAAAGAGTGTGTGTGAATGTGTGTGTGTGTAGGACAGTGAGGTGGGAGGTCCTGTGTCCAGTGCTGTGTGTAAATGGGGAGGGAGTCAGTCAGCCCTGATTAGGGTAGTGGATAGTGATTTCTAGGCTTGAAGCCCAAGGGTGGAGATTGGGTGAGGTAAGGGCCCAGGGGATTGGGGATGGGGAAGACTCAACATGGCTGCTGTCTCAGACTGAGGAGTCATCTTGCTTCCGCTGAATCAGGTCCTTCTTTGGCCCTGGTTCCAAATATGAAGGGACACCCTTCCTCCAGCCAGGCCTTCAGATTGGAGGGGGCATGAGCAAAGGGGCTGAGGGTCTGGGAGATTTTTATGCAGATCTCATTTTTGTCTCCGGATCCAATGTGTGTGTGTGTGTGTGTGTGTGTGTGTGAGAGAGAGAGAGAGAGAGAGAGAGAGAGAGAGAGGCAAGTTCCTTGGATCCAAATGCTTAAAACAGCCCCAGGAGGACTGAGGTGGGTGGAGTCTGGAACTGTACTCCCAGAGATATGTTTAGTTAGAACAACCTAGACAGAGGCTGGGGAGCTCTGGTAGCATAGTGGCTATGGCGGTTCAAACCCACCAGCCACTCTTCGGAAGGAAGGTTGGGCAATCCTACTTCCGTAGTGATACTGCCTCGGAAACCCAAGGAGGGGTCGCTATGAGTCGGGTTTGATTCGACGGCACATAACAACAACAACAACAACAACAGACAGAGGCTGAGGGAGTGGGAGTGGTAAGATTCAGACTCTACTGAAGCCACACCAAAAAACCAAACCCACTGCTATCGAGTTGAACCCAACCCATAGTGACGCCTTCTTGGGTTTCTGAGGCAGTATCACTATGGAAGTAGATTGCCCAAGCTTCCCTCTGAGGAGTGGCTGGTGAATTTGAACTCCCAGCCTTCTGGTTAGCAGTCAAATGCCTTAGGTACTATGCTACCAGAGGTCCTCCAGCCCCCTCTTTTTATAGGTGAGGAAACAGATGCACAGAAAGGGGAGTAGTTGGTCAAGATCACACAGGGCTTAAAGGAAGAATCTCCTTGCTGTCCAGTCCAGGAACATGTGACACATGGCTATACATATGGACAGTGGTAGCTTCCTTTGGTCATAACATTCATCAAAAGTCTCATTTTCCCAAGACAGCATTAAAAACAATAATTCCTTTCTCACAGAGTTGATGGGAGAAGGAGATGACTTTGTACAAATAAAGAGCATAGAACAGTGCCTGGCATACAGAAAGCATCCAATAAAAGTTAGGAAATAATAATAGAAAATGTCCCTATTGCAAAAGGAACCACCCAGTGATCCTGGGCCTGATCTTGCCTCAACCATGCTGAAGCTGGCAGCCAGGCCAGGGTGGAAAAGTGAAGGCAGTCATTGGTGTTGGAAATTGGCCTGTCCATCGGCTTCCTGGGAGCAGCTATGGACTGCCCTTAGTCCTGCTTTTGCACTTCCTCCTTTCTTTCCTCTGACTCATGAGTGTCCAGACCTTTCATCCTGGCTAGCAACTTGATAGTATCAGCCTGGGAGCCCCCCAAGGGCAGGGCTCAGTCCTTCGTCACTGCACGCTCAGTCCAGCCCTGAGAGGGATCAGCAGAGGCACTGCCTGACACGTGGCAGCCAGCCTGCAGAGTGTCTGCCTCCCATTCTTGTCCTGGCCTAGGGGGCCACAGGAAATGGACCTCTTGGAGCTGCTTCTGTACTGTTGCTCACTATTCTCAATACTGAACACAGTCTGTCATTCATTTAATCCTGAAGGGTGGTGTTCCGGTTACCTAGCACCACTCTGACAAGAATATACCACAAATGCGATGCTTGAACAAACAGGAGTTTATTCTCTTACAGTTTGGAGGCTTTAAGTCTGAGTTCCAAGTGCCAGGCTCTAGGGGCTGGGTGAAAGCCCCTCCACCTTGGGCTTCAGCTCTGCCTCCTACTCTCAGGCCACTGAAGCTAGAGGCTTTTCTTCACTCAGACAGCTGTTGGCTGCTGAGACCGACAAGCCCCAGGTTGACAAGTAACAAGGCACAGTCCCAGTGTTACCAAACCACATGACAGGCCATTAATTCAAGTCCATTGAAAGTCCTAAGGTTGGCAGAGCATGGCAGGCTGCTGAACAACAACATGGCTATATGCAGGGTTCAAGTGTGCCATAAGCTAGAGACCATTCCCAAAGCTGTTTGTTATACATGGGAAGCAGACCACATACTGAAAGCAGCTACTCAGCTGCTTCAATAGAGTCCACCATGGAGTTCATTACCAATCTCACCATGGGGAATAACTACATTCAGCTGCCCAGACACTCAGTCAGGCCTAGCCAAACTGACACACAAACTTAACCTCCACAGGTGGGTATGGTTCCTAGCTCCATTTTACAGAGGAGGAAACTGAAGCACAGAGATGTTAAGTGATTTGCCCAGGGTCACACAGTTAGTACACTATGGAGCCAGGATTTCCACCCAAGTGGGTGGCTCTAAACTCTACACCCTTAACCATCAGTTACGCTGCTCAGAGAGTGTCCCTTTCCCCCTACCTTTGGTGACCTGACTTAGGTTGGTAAATGAATGAATGACTTGGTTCCTTGTTACATCCCTTGCTTGCCCCTATCAAATTACTCTTATTTCCCTTCCAAAGGACCATCTTTCCCTCTTGTCTATGAGATAAAGACTTCACTGTCTGGTCTATAAGGAGTTCTGGTGGTGCTGCTAACTAAAAGCTCAGTGGTTTGAACCTACCAGCCACTCCACAGGAAAAACATGAGGCAATCTGCTTCTGTAACGATTCTCACTGCTGTTAAGTTGATTCACTCATAGTGACCCTTCCTTGGTTTTCCGAGGTGGTATCTCTACAGAAGTAGATTGCCCAATCTTCCTTCTGAGAGCAGCTGGTTAGCAGTCAAATGCCTTAGGCACTATGCCACCAGAGGTCTCAGAGTTACAGCCTTGGAAATCGCATGGGGTAGTTCTGCTGTGTCCTGTAGTGGGTTTGGTTTTTTGGTTTTGGTCCATTCTATTTTATGATTTCTGTCCTGAGCTTTGATACTCTGTTCTTAGGCCTTTTCAGACCCAGATCTCTCCAGGTGGCTCCCAACAGGTGTCTTACTTCCCTTGCACTCCCATTCGCCTATCTCTTCATCATCTCTGCCCTTACTACTTCCTGGATTGAGACCTCAGAGTTCCAGAGACACTACTCATTGGCTGTGGAGTAGACCTCAGTAGGGACTGGCCAATCTGAATTCTTTTTTGTGCCACACTAGCACCCTGTACCCCAGGATGGTTTCTTCTGGAGCAAGCATTTCTGAGCATGGGGTAGGGGTGGGCATGGGGGTGAAGGGCCCCATGGTGGTGGAGTGGAGAGAGAGAGGGAGACCAATGTGGCCAGGAATGAGAAAGGGACCCCAGACAAAATAGAGTTAGGACCACATCCACCATCTCAGAGCACTCTAGTCTCTCCCTTTCCCCCAGGTATGAATTGCAAGATTGTCTTTCTGGAGTGTGTTAAAGGCAAAGAATGCCATCCCAGACCTCCAGTAACCCCTCCTCCCATCCATTTGCCTAGCCCAACCTGTGGGCATCAGGAAGCAGGCATGGGCCCTGTTGTTTACTCTCTGGCACTTGCTCCTAGGTCTGGCCTTGGTCCACTTAGGGCCAGGCCAGATGGCGTAAGCTGGATGGTGCAATAGCCCTCACTTCTTCCTTGGCCAAAGGCTTTCTGTGACCCAGTTCCAAGAGGGCCCTGAGGCTGAGGGGTTTGTCCCCAGGGAGGGGCCACATGGAGTTCCCTGGATCCCTATGATCCTGTCTGTAGGACAGTGGAGGAGAGCAGAGTCACAGGTGCCCATTGAGGCCAGGTGACACTTGGGTGCTGGCTGGTACTGCCAGAGGCTCTTGGTTGGTTGGGGTCCTGAGTATGTAATGTGTGTGTATGGTGGGGACTACAACATTCTGTGCTGCCTCAGTGGCAACCCTGAATGAGAGGCAGAAGTATGCAAGAGTGAGAGGCTTTGTCAACAGAATTGACTTTTGCAAACCCTACCTGGCTCTGCAAATGGTGGTTGTAGCCTTAAAATGCACAAGAGGTCAGGGGGCTGAGTGTTTTGGGGCAGGGTGAAGCAGGAAGGTGGGGCCCACTGATCTCCACCTGGCTTTTCTGGGGGTAAGCAATAAAGCAAGGATTTGGAAGCTGAACTGGGACCAGCTGTCTGCTGGCTGATAACCTGGTTGATAACATGAGAGCTATCAACAATTCTTTAGCAAGTTTACCTGGAGAGTCCCTGGAAGTATAGGGGACCAGCACTTCAGGCTTCAACCCATTTCTTCCAGCAGTCCTGGTCAAACCTACCTGTGGAGGGAATGGTTACTCTCAGGATATGCTCCAGGCTCAGATTCTGCCTTTTTCTCTGGTTGTATTGTCAATTAGAATTACATTTGGTTGTGACAGAAAAAGCTCAGTAATAGTGTTTTGAATAAGATTGATATTTATTTATCTCTTGCATAAACAAAGGCTGGTGGTATCCAGTCCAGGTTTGTTACGGTGGCTCCATGATTAATCAGGGATCCAGGTTTTTTGTATCTTACTGTGCTACCAATTTCTAACATGACCTCTAGCTCATGGTATAACATGGCTGCCAGAGCTCCAGCCATCACATCAGCATTGCAGTCAGCTGGAGGGAGAAAGTGGAGAGGAAGTTCCCTCATCCTTGAAAGTCACATTCCAGAAGTCACACAGAACACTTCCTCGTATATCCTATTGCACAGAAGAATTTAATGATATAGCTGCACTTAGCCTGAAGAGAGAATGGAAAATGCAGTCTTTAATCTGGATGGCCATGAGGAAAAATGAACAAATATTGGAGTATAACTAGCTGTCCTTGCCATGGTGCACAGTATGAATAGAGGGTTCCGGATGCTGGATGACTTCTGCAGTCTCCTCTGAGTGGTAGCCCGGCGGCGGGGAGTGGGGCTCTGGCTCTCCATCTGGGCCTTGCCTCCAGCTTGAGGGTTTGAAATCCTCCTTGGAGCCACCATGGTAGCAGGAGCATGACTCCCCTGGGGTCTCCATCAGGGAGAGGATCAGTTGGATGATCAAGGCCAGCCATGCCATCCCAAAAAGGATCCACAGGGATATCACATTCTTGTACCACACTGGGTACTTCCTGTCAGGATCCATCCCTAGGGGAGAGGCAAAGTCAGAGGATAGAAGCCTAGAAGTTGGGACCATGCTCCCAAAACACAAATAGGTTACTTGGCTTGAAGAAGTTGAGGGGTCAATGGGACAAAATTTGACAAGTCGAGAATGGTCTGAGGTTCCTGGCCTGGTAATGACCTAGGATTCTAGGAAGACTCCCTGGATTGACACCATGGGCTTGGAAGCTAAATTTCCTCATTGTCCTTCTGATAGACTCTGTCTATGCTCTATCCCAAGCAGTTCTCCAGGTGAGGTCCCTGACCAGCAGCATCAGCATCACCTGGAGCTTATTAGAGATGCTCATCCTTGGGCCCCGACAAGACCCATTGAATCAGAAGCTCTGTTTTGAGAGATTCTGATGCATGCTCTTGTCTTTGGGTTTGGTTTCTTCATGTCTGAAGGGAAGCAACTTGCTGGAGCCAGGGGCTGTAGGAATAATGGGGGAACTGTTGGAATTTGTATCCTGTCTGTTTTTTACTAGCTGTGTGGTCTCCATCTGTCAGAATATTGCTTACCTGGGAAATGGGGAAAATAATTTCTCTCCCTTGGCTGTTAAGATGAAGTTCCAAATCCTACCTGAAGGCTCCCTGTCTATCTATCTGTCCTCAATTTGCACACCTATCCCTCGAGTGCCTGCTCTTAGCTCCCTGTACTACTCTTCTGTCCACTCCATTCTGTCCTGCTAGTCCCAAGACAGCCTCTCTGATTTGTCTTCTAAGGCTGGGCCCACTCAGCTCCCTCTTTCAGACAGCTCAAGGATGAACACACAGACCTGGAGTCAACCTTGACCACCTGCAGGAGTTGATTGGATTAGGCTGATTGGGTTACAGGGCCACGATTCCGCTGGCAGTCCCAAATGAGATCAGCAGAGAGCCAGCTCTCTGCCTCTGCCCCACACTAGCTTAACTTGCTCCTGGTAACTGAGGGGAGGCAGCGTTCTTCTCCACTTTTATTTCATTTTTTTTTTTTTAGCCAAAATCATAAGTGGCAGGAGACCTGGCAGCTGGCAAGGCTCTCAACTGAGCTGCAAATGCAATTGGGGGAAGCAAGAGCTATGGGGCCAGGGAAAAGCAGGCGGCTAGGATCTAGGGGCTGCTCCAGCCATAGCCTTCCTGCAGAGGACTGCTTGTGAAGACAACACTTCTATAGCTGCTGACACAGGACAATGGACACCCAGTGTCCAAGTGGTAGACCCCCAGCATTCTCATTTAAGAAAACCGTTTAACCTTGTCCCTGCAGAACAAGCAAAGTTGAGAGACATGGGAAGAAGTAGAGGTGGGGTTTGTCCCCTTCTCAGGTTGCAGATGATTCTAGAAGTGTTGTGTGTAGAACCCTGGCTTGGGAGTCTATCCTTGGCCTGCCCTTGACTTGCCTGCTCTATCACCTTAGTCAACTCTCTTTCCCTCTATGGGTCGCCCCATTTGTGTAAGAAAGATGCCCTTACAGTTGAAGCAGTGACTCTGCTGTGGTCACTTGCCATAAGAGAGACTGAAATGGCTGTGGAGGGAGCCAGATTGGGGAGCAAATCTCGGGTGGTATGATGAAGAGGGCAACTCTGCCTGCTGTCCTTGGGCTGGATGATCTGCCTGGGCAGCCCTTCTGGACTTAACGAGCTCTTGTGGTTTTGGACTAGGCTCCTCTGTCAAGATAAGTCGTAGGTTCCATGTTTCAGCCTCCCTCTGTCCTATTGCTCTTCCAGGGTTGGCCAACAGTGTGGCAGAGATCCTGATCAGCTCTCTTGGGTTTTACAGAGACTGGCTTCTAGGGACTCATTGCCCGTCCTCGAGCCTTTTTCACTGATTTCCAGAATACCCAAGCCTGGAGAAGTCTGCTTCTACTTCCCTCTGCCCTGCCCTGCTCGGGGCCTTTGAGGTCTCAGGACATCCTCACAGACATTCTCCCATCAACTCCATATGGGCTTCCTTGGGGAGTTTCTGGGGTGGAGGGTGGGTGTGAGCTTGTTGTTAGGTATTAACTACCCAGGACCAAACTTGGAAAGCCCTGGTGATAGGTGGGTGCTGAGAGGCCCTAGTTGGGAGTCCTGCTACAATTTCTCTGCCCTTTACCTTGCACTGAATGTCCCCAGAGAATCAAGCCTTTTTGATGGTGACCCAGGGCAAATTCTGAGTTTCAGCCTCAGAGTAGGGCACTGGCAGGGGAGAGGAGGGGCCAGCTGCAGGATGGTCAGATCTCAAAGCCCTGAGTCAAAGCTGCTGCAATCAGTGTCAATGGTATTTCATGGTGGCTAGAGTATAGTACAAGGAGCTCTGGTAGCATAGTGCCTAAGGCATTTCACTGCTAACCAGAAGGCTGGCAGTTCAAACCCACCAGCCACTCCTTGGAAGGAAGGTTGGGCGATCCTACTTCTGTAGTGATACTGTCTTGGAAACCCAAGGAGGGGTCACTATGAGTCAGGGCCGACTCGATGGCACTTAACAACAACAACAGAGTATAGTAGAAATAATCCTGGTGGTGCAACGGTTAAGTGCTCAGCTGCAAACCCAATGGTTGGTGGTTCGAACTCACTCAGTGGGTCTGCAGCAGAAAGACCTGGTGATCTGTTCCCGTAAAGATTACAGAGTAGCAAACCCTGTGTGCAGTTCTGCTCTGTCACTTGGGGTCACTATGAGTTGGAATTAACTTGAGAGCACCTAACAACCACAGAGTGTAGCATAGAAGGGGGAGAGCCTGGAGGGGAGTGGGAGGCAGGGGCAGGGTTACATGGAGGGCCTCACAGGCCTGGTTATAGATTTTGAACATCATCCTGAAACTGTGGGAAAACACTAAAGGTTTTCAGAAGGGGTTAGCAGTGACATGATGGAACCTGCAGTTTTTAAAGATCCTAAGGGGCAAGAGGAGGGACAAGGATAGAGCTTATACAACTCTGGGTGTCATTCTTATTGTGATCTGTCTAAATGGCACCATCTTCAGTAGCACAGTACCTAAAGTATTTGACTGCTAACCAGAAGGCTGACAGTTCAAACCCACCAGCCACTCCTTGGAAGGAAGATTGGGCAATCTACTTCCATAGAAATACCGTCTTGGAAACCACAGGAGGGGTTGCTATGAGTTGAATCCAACTCAACGGCAGTGAGTTTGGTTGTTTTAGGGTTGTGTAGTACCCAACCTGTGTAGCTGTACACAAAGGCCCTGCCTAGACTAGGGAAACAGTAGGGGGCATAGAGGAGAAGAATGACCCAAGACTCATCTCTGAACTGTGAGGGGGCAGATATAGCTCTTAGAACAACTGCGCTCAGTTCTCCTGAAACAACGCTTCACTCTGAGGGTAGAGACGGGAACATGACTTAGTCTTTTCTAGAATAATAGGATGAGGGAGGTCAGGAAGGAATAACATGAGGCTCTGGACATGGGGAAGAGAGGTCCAGGGAAGAGGACCCTACACATAAGGAGGTACTAAGAGGCATCTTAGCAATCATGTATCAGTCCCTACAATTTACAAACAGGGATGATGAGAGTGGGGTAGAGTGGAAGGCGGTTTGAAAACAATAGGAGTTTGAGAGCCAAACAGGAATTTCTGTCTCACTAGCTGTACAATCTCAGGCAAATGGCTTGGGTTCTCTGAGCTTCAGCTTTCTCCTTGGTAAAATGGAGATGAACCTTAGTCATGTGCCTGATGAGTTAGTCATTCCTTACTCTCTGACTTCCTTTACCTTCTATTTTTACTGAGCCTTTGGGAAAACTTCCTTTCAATATTCCAGGCTGGGTTCTGTTGCTGAAAGAGTGAAGAGCAGGGTCTTCTTCCCACTTTAGGGCCATGGGGTCAGAGGGTGGGCACAGAGCCCCTTGAGGCCCACATGGTGGTGGTGCCAGTGGCCACTGCTGATATGGCCATAGTAGGTGAACATTTAGAGGCAGGAAGGGGAGAGGATGAATGCAGATTAGTTCTTGGCCATTCCTGCAGCCACACCAAGTGTCCACCTGCTGGGCATCTGGCCTCAGGTTTATCATGGGGGGGGGTGAGCACTGGGGCTGGCATTTTACAATCACCTGCCAACCTAAAGGCTGGTGGTTTGAACCCACTCAGTGGCTCCATAGAAGAAAAGTCTAGTGATATATTTCTGTAAAGATTCCAAAAAACCAAACCCATTGATCATCAAGATGATTGTGACTCATAGTTACCTTATAGGATAGTAGACTTGCCTCATAGGGTTTCCAAGGCTGTAATCTTTTTTGTTTTGTTTTGTTTTCTTTCTTTTCTTTAAATTGTATAGATTAATTTATTTTGTTGTTGTTGTAGACTACACACAACAAAATATGTCCCAATTCAACGATTTCTACATGTACAACTTAGTGACATCAATTACATGCTTCGAGTTGTGCAATCATTTTCACCCTCCTTTTCTGAGTTGTTCCTCCCTTATTAACATAAATTCATTGCCCCCTACATTCCTATCTCATCTTTCAAGTTGTTGCAGTCGATCCAATATAGATTGTTCTTAAAATAGCATGATGCTCTAGGCAGATCTTTTTCAGTAGTTAAACTAAACTATTGTCTTTTATTGTATTTTATTCATAATCTACTATTATGAATAACAACAACAACAACAACAACAAAGCAGATCTTTTTCAGTAGTTAAACTATTCTCTGGTTTTCAGACTTCAGGGGATATTTTTGGTTTAAGGTTTAAATATTATCTAGGGAATAGTTTCAGAGGTTCATCCACCCTCCATGGCTCTATAAAGTCTGGATTCCATAAAAATTTGAAATTCTGTTCTGCATTTCACCCCTTTTGATCAGGATTTTTCTATGGAAACTTTGATCAAAATGTTCGGTAATGGTAGCTGGGCACCATCCAGTTTTTCAGGTCTCAGGGCAAAAGAGGCCATTGTTCGTGGAGGCAATTAGCCACATATTCCAGATCCTTCTATTCCTGACTCTCCTTTCTCTAAGGCTGTAATCTTATGGAAGCAGACTGCTACATTTTTCTCCCATGGAGTGGTTGGTTAGCAGCCAAGCATTTTACCCCTGTACCACCAGGACCCCTTAAAATCCCATGCAGCAGCTCTACTCTGCAACACATGGGGTAGCTATTAGTCAGTATAGATTCTATAGCAAACAGTTTGTTATTTTTTGGGGAGATGGTAAGGGGATAGGGAGTTGGGGGTTTTCTTCTGCAGGGCTCCTGGGGCCCTGCTTTTTTTCCACATTGTGTGGTGACCACTGATTTAACCTCACCTTGAACCTTGTGGACCTCACAGACCTTTCTTGCTGGCACTCAGAATTTAGCTGCCAACTTTTTACCAAGGTGGAGCCTAGGGCTGCATGAGTCACCCATACTCTACCCATGGTCTGTGAAATAAATATGTGGCCCCCAACCCGGGAGCAGTGGAAAGGCTTGCTGTTCCACTGGGGCAAGGTGAGATGGACAAGGATGGGGGTCGAGCTTATCTCCTTATCTGGTGAGCTCTAAGAATGACAGTGGGATTTGTGGGGACGTGAGAGCCTCATAGTGCCTGTCGGGAAGGGCAGGAGTCACACCTTGCAGCCCAAAGCACTACATTCAGGTTAAATAATCCCCTTTTACCTTGGTGATTTCAGCCCCATCATATTCCACAAAAGGAGGTCGGACTTTGGGCTCCAAGTCCTCCATGCTTGGCACATAGCAGGTGCCCAGCAGACACTGGCTAATGGATGTAGGAGTAGGAGGTTGAGGAGCTGAACCTCGGAGCATCTACCCGCATGCCCAGGAGCTCCTCACCAATCATGTAGTCGCCAAAGCCCACAGTGCTGAGGGTAATGAAGGCGAAATAGAATCCTTCCATGTAGTTCCAGCCCTCCATGTAGGAGAAGAGCAGTGGAGGCAGCAGCAGGAAAAGCAGGAGGCCTGAGAGGAGGGCACCACACCCCGCCAACAATCGGGCCTTGGCCGGGTCCTGTGGGTGCAAGCAAATCATGCCATCAGCTCTCCTGTGTGGGCCAAGGGGCAGGGGAGGCAGATAGCCTGGGGGTACTTAGCTGAGAGCACTTTTCCCCAGTAAGGAAAAACACTGCCACCAGTGTGTCCTTCATCTATTTTGTGTTTTCCAGGTTCCAGGCCATTATGGATTGAATTGTGTCCTCCCAAAATATGTGTTAGAATCCTAACCCTTATACCTGTGATTATAATACTATTTAGGAGTAGGGTTTTCTTTGTTATGTTAATGAGACCATTATCAGCGTAGGGTGTGTCCTAAACTAATCACTTCTGAGTTATAGGAAAAAAAAAACAGATTATGGGAGGGAAAATATGGAACAAAATTCAAAAACACAAAAGTGACCAGAATGACTGGTCAGATAGAGACTGGTGGGACTCCTCAGACTACGGCCCCCAGTTATCCTTCGGGCCCAGAAATGGACTCACTTCGGTGGATTGGCTCTCAGCCCAACAGTCGAAAGACCTACATAAAGAATATCTACCCCAGGGAGATGCACCCACCTATGCCAGGAAGATGCACCCCTTAGCTCAATCAGCCATGAGACATCCGAGGGGCAGCATTCACATAGAAGAGAAGCTGGATGGAGAGGAATGCATAGATAAGAAGGGCACAGGGAGGGGTAGTCCCAAAGAGGAGAGGGAGGAGAGATTTTTATGGTTGGGGTTGGTAATTGGGGCTGTGAAATCAAATGTGCATGAACTGTTGAATGTAAAACAAATCTGCTTTGTAAATTTGCACCAAAACCAAAACCAAACCAACCTCACTGCCGAGTCGGATCCAGATCCGGCTCAGCGACCCTTCTTTGGGTTTCTGAGGCACTATCACTATGGAAGTAGATTGCCCAACCTTCCTTCGGAGGAGTGGCTGGTGGGTTTGAACCACCAGCCTTCTGGTTAGCAGTCAAATGCCTTAGGCACTATGAACCAAAAGCACAATTTAAAAAAAAAAGAAAGAAAGAAAGAAAGAAAGAAAAGCAGATTAGACACAGAAATGTGAGGAAAACAAATGCCACGTGAAGGCCACCAAGGAACCATGGAATGCTGGGATTACAGAGCTGAAGGAGACAAGGATGTTCTCCCAGAGACCACAGAAAGAGCCTTCCTCTGGCGAAGTGCCTCCTAAACTATGAGAAAATCAATTTTTGTCATTTAAAGCCAACCACTTGTGATATTTTTGTTACAGCAGCACTAAGAAACTAAGACATAGGCCAAAACTTTGTCTTTGTTGCCTGGTACACCTCTTCTGTCTGCCCAGTCCTACCCATATCCACCACTGACACCTCTTTATTATGAAAATGTCCTCCATTCTAGACAGTGACACCCCAGTGCCAACACATCCCCACCAGTGACCCTGATTCCCAATGACCCTGATTCCCAGAAGTAACCTGTGCTCCCACCAGTGATCCATCCACACCAAGATCCCCAACCCTTCATATTCCCTCATTCTAGAAGTGACCCCCTCTTCTCTCTCCAGCACCCCGTCACCTGCAAGGCGCCCCCCAGCCTGCGGGCACAGCGGTGCATGCCCTGCAGCATGAGACGGCCCAGGCGGTTGAGCACCACGAGGTTGAGCGGTATCCCCACCAGAGCAAAGAAGATGCAGAAAAGGCGGGCGGCCAGCGTGTGGGGGCTCAGGTTGCCATAGCCTGAGGAGAGACAGGGCATTTCAGGAGACTTTTTCAGACTGGCCCTAACTACTTCCATCCCACAGCCCTACTCCTACCCAATAGCCCAAAGGGTCCTCATTCCTGACACACTCCAGATGTGGGCAGCTAATATTTATTGAGGCCTTTCTTTCATAGAGGAGCTCTAGTGGCACAGTGGTTCAAATGTTTGGCTTCTAACCAGAACTGTCAGCAGTTCAAATCCACCAGCTGCTCTGCAAGAGGAAGATGAGGCAATCTACTTCCAAAGACTTATAGTTTTGGAAACCGTATGGGTTGCTATGAGTTGGAATCAACACAATGGCAGTGAGTTTTGGGTACTTTCACTTAGGAGCTCTGGTGGCATAGTGCCTAAGGCATTTGACTGGTAACTAGAAGGCTGGTGGCTCAAATCCACCAGCCACTCCTCGGAAGGAAGATTGGGCAATCTACTTCCATAGTGCTACTGCCTTGGAAACCCAAGGAGGGGTCACTATGAGTTGGATCAGACTTGACGGCAGTGAGTTTGGTTTCTTTTAGTTTATACCTGTACTCTGGTAGCATAGTGCCTAAGGCACCTGACTGCTAACCAGAAGGCTGACGGTTCAAACCCACCAGCCACTCCTTGGAAGGAAGGTTGGGCAATCTACTTCCATAGTGATACTGCCTCGGAAACCCAAGGAGGGGTCACTATGAGTTGGATCAGACTTGACGGCAGTGAGTTTGGTTTCTTTTAGTTTATACCTGTACTCTGGTAGCATAGTGCCTAAGGCACCTGACTGCTAACCAGAAGGCTGACGGTTCAAACCCACCAGCCACTCCTTGGAAGGAAGGTTGGGCAATCTACTTCCATAGAGATACTGCCTCGGAAACCCAAGGAGGGGTCACTCGCTATGAGTCAGGTCTGATTCGACAGCACATAACAACAACAACCTATACTTAGCAAGCCCTATCCTCTGCTCTTGGGGTTCTTCTTTTTATTCAGTCCTCCCCAGTGAGATGAAGGTTCTTAGATTCTAGCTCTGGGAGGAACCCCGTGAGGGTCTTCCCTTCCCCATTGGTTTTGATCAGTCTTCAGTTCAGTGAAATCGGTGGATATCAGTGAAGCCCTCTTCTAGCTGCCAAGTGCTAGGTGGCCCCATCCAAGCCACCTCTCATTTCAGCATGTCTTCCATCTGTCACCCCTTCACCTTGCTGGTTCAGCCCTTGGGCATCCTATGACGGCCCCATAGGTCTGTGATCAGGTTTTCCTGCACTCTCTCTGACTTCATCTCTTTTTTTCCCCAAACATTCTCTGGCCATCTGGAGCTCCCCAGTCTTCCCAAATACACCAATCACATTCCTACCTCTGGGCCTTCACACTTGCTGGTGAAAGTTCTTTCTCCAGTTATCTTCGTGGCTTGCTCCTTTATTTTGTTCATATCTCTGCTTCTATGTTATCTTATCAGAATAAAGCCTTCCCTTTTCATCTCATGTAAAATAGCCTCATCTCCATCACTTTTGAATTCCCTTATCTGGCTTTACTTTCCTCTAAGCACTCACTACCACCTGAATATTATCTGTGCACTTGTTTTTATTGTTTAACTTTATCTCATATTGCCTTACACTAGAATGTCAGCTCCCTGAGGGCAGGGACTTGGTCAGTTTTGCTCACAGTGGTACCCCGGCACCTAGAACAGTCTGGCCCACAGTAGGTACTCATTTTATTTATTGAATAGATGGACAGGTAGATGAGTGAACAGTGAGCAAACCTGGGACAGAGTTAGATAATGAATAATTTCTGGACTCAAGTCTATCCTGTTGTTGTCGTTATGTGCCATTGAGTCGGACGCGACTCATAGCGACCCCTCCTTGGGTTTCTGAGGCAGTATCACTAAGGAAGTAGATTGCCTCATCTTCCTTCCGAGGAGTGGCTGGTGGGTTTGAACCGCCAGCCTTCTGGTTAGCAGTCAAGTGCCTTAGACACTACACTACCAGAGCTCCTAAGTCTATCCTACTACCCCAGAAGTATTCATATGCCTGCCAGACCCTGTGGTTCATTCTGAGGCTTGGAAAGCCAGTCCTTACAGGGCGGTCCCAGGGTAATAAGAGTGCCAAGGAGGCAACCCTCTCCTGGTGTTCACTCTAGAGTGGCTAACTATTTCTTCCATTATTTAGAATATCCACCGTATCTTTTAAATTCTCCACGAGTAGGCACTATTGGGAAAAGCAATGCCGTTTCCCAGCCCTCAAATTCTAACTCTGCTGTTTACTAGCTGTGTGACTTGAGGCAAGTCGTACAACCTCTCTGTGCCTTAGTTTCCTCATCTGTGGCATGGAGGTTGTTGTAAGGATGAGATCTCAAGTATAAAAGTGTCTAGTATAGTGGCTAGCACGGTGGCTAGCATGGAAGGCTAGCAAAGCTAGCCTAGCATGGAAGAAGTGCAGCCAGAATGCTCTTTGGAAGCAAGAATGGCCAGACTTTGTCTCACCTACTTTGGTCATGTTGTCAGAAGGGACCAATCCCTGGAAAAGGATCTCATGCTTGGTAAAGTGGAGGGTCAGAGAAAAAGGAGAAGGCCCTCAAGGAGATGGATTGACACAGTAGCTGCAACAATGGGCTCAGATATAGTAAGTACTATGAGGCTGGTGAAGGACTGGGCAGTGTTTCGTTCTGTCATGCATACGGTTACCATGAGTTGGAGCTGACTCGACGGCACATAACAATAGCACGGTGGCTGATATGAGTGTGTGAGTAGAACCTGAGCATATTCTATTGTAGTGTGCAGGTGTGGTGAGGTGCAGTCTCCCTTCCTCTACCCTCCTCACCCTCAGACCTGGATCAGACAGCTTTAGGACAGAGCCGGATGGAGAGGAAGAGACAAGGAGATAGTCCAGGCCAGGAATGGTGGGGCTAGAAAGAGATAGGTGGAAAATCTGAATTTGATGAGTCAGATCATGGGCCTGGGATAGCGGGTGGATGATGTGTGAGATTCAGAAACTATAGACACCCCCACCCCTAGCCCCACCCCCTGTACATCTGGGATGCTTGGCCCAAATTGACTCTGCTTCAAAGTCCGTTACACCCCTTCTGGTTGAATACATAATGGGTGGATTAATTAATATGGTAGTGTTTGTTGAGTGCCCATCAAATGCTTGGGCCTTGTACTAGACTCCTGTGATGTAAAGATGAATGAACACACTCCTGGCCAGTCTCATTAGTGTCTCAGGGTCGGGTCTGAGGCTTTCCAAGTATTCTTATCGGAAGGCAGAGGACTGCCCAGACTCCCATGTGGCCTCAAGAGCTGCTACCAAAGTTTTTGGCTGACTTGAAACTAGATGGAGAGTTCTCTGAGTGCTCTTGCTTCACCCCATTCTGGGAAGGATTGTTGTTATGTGCCATGGAGTCGGACCCGACTCATAGAGGCCAGGATACTGGTTTCCAGGGTAGAGGATTGTGGTAGGCCTAGAACTGGGAGGAGGTAGTCCCAAGTTACCAGTGGTGTTAGCCTGCCACCTGGTGGTAAGTGCAGTGTCATGCAGAGACTAGCTGGATCTGGCAGTGAGATCAGACACTCAGAGCAGTGAAAATGGTCCCGCTAGCATTATTTCATGGGTTTCAGAGCTGAAGTGATCTAGATGGGTTTTGCGCCTCCCTTCACAAACTATCCCAAGACAAATTCCACCTCAGCTCTTCTGCAGGGCAGGGCTAGAGAGAAACCGGAGGTGAATCTAGTCCAGATGTCTCCTGTCTGGGTGAGAAGGTAGCCTGGGGAGGATGAGGATGGGGACATCAGTGAGCTGAGGCGAGGTCTCTGGGAGTGGAGCACTCTCTTCCAGAGTAAGGGGGGGGGGATGATGATGATCACCTCTCCCCAAAGCTGACAGAAGGGAGTTATCCCTCCTTCCTCCCCAACACCCACCAAGCCTTGGGGGGACTTAACTGAGAAACCTGGAACATTTCCAGTGCCCAGAGCTCTGGTGGCATAGTGCTTAAAGCATTTGACTGCTAACTCGGGAGGTTGGCAGTTCAAATCCACCAGCCACTCCATGGAAAGAAGGCTAGGCAATCTATTTCTGTAAAGATTTACTGCCTCTGAAAGCCAAAGGGGGTCACTATGAGTTGGCATCGACTCAAGGGCAGTGAGGTTTCTTATTTTTTATTTTTTGAGGATCATCTTTACTGCCCCTCGGGAGATCTTTTGTCTCTTGAAAGGCGATGGGAGTCAGAAATCCCCTAGAGCAGCTATTCGCAAACTTGGGGGTTACATAGTAACCCCCTGGGGATCTTGGTAAAATGCAGAAACAGATTCAGTAGGTCTGTGTGAGGCTTGAGATCTGCTCCTTAGGGTAGCAAGCTCCTAAGTAACTCCTCTAAATGACAACCAGCTCTACTGCCCCTCAGGAAGAGTCTCCCTCCCCAGTCCCTCACATCTCAACCTGAGCAGACTCTTACCGATCGTGGTGATGGTGGACACGGAAAAGAAGAAGGAGCCCACAAGCTCCCAGCGTGCCATGCTGCTGGTATTGCCGATGACAAGGGCTCCACTTTTGTATGCTTGGACGATGCCCTATGGGAGAAGTTGCAGTGACCACCAAGCTCTGTGGGGTAAACTCGCCCTCAACACACACACACACACACACACGCACATTCATGGGCAGTCCTCACAACCACTCTTCACTCCCAGCCTGACCAGGGCAAGGCAGCGCTCTCCCTCCAACCAGGGGCTTCCCAGGGCCAGAGACCACCAGTAGTAACACCTTCCTCTCTCCTCACCCCAGAGTCTAGGTTAGGATGGGATGTGTGATTTTTCTTTGACTGATAGAACCACCATTCATTTTCTTCCTTGCTTTTTCACTCATTCATTCATCCATTCATTTCCCTCCCATTCTTGCAACAAACACTAGGGCAGGTGTGACATATGGTGCTTCTAGGAGACTTAATGATGAAAGAGACATGGCTTTAACTCTCCCGGAGACAGAGATTGCTTTAATTAGCTCTACTACAGAGCAGTCAATGTTGCTATAAGCAATATGGAGGCAGTGCAGCTATATGATCCTGGACAAGTTACTCAACTTCTCTGGGCCTCAGTTTCCTTTTCTGTAAGATGAGAATATCAATAGTACCTACTCCATAGAGTTGTTGTGAGGGTTAAATGAGGTACGTGCAAAGATTTAGAACAGTAACTTGGCACATGTGAAATGTTAACAGCTTCTATCATCGTCATCATTATTATGTAGGAATACAGTGAAGAAAGGTGTTCATTTTGATGGGGGTAGGGACAGAAGGCTTCATGGAGGGGGTGATATTTCAACTCTAATTTGAGGCTTGGATAAGATTGCTCCTGGTGAGAGTGTATTTAGATAGATGGAACAGCAGGAACAAAAATTGGGAGGCAGAACTGTGCCTGGAATCTAGAACAAAACAAAATGAAACAAAACAAAACAACCAAACTCACCGCCACCGAGTCGATTCCGACTCATAACAACCCCCTTTGGGTTTCTGAGGCAGTAAATCTTTATGGAAGTAGATTGCCCAGTCTTCCTTCTGCAGAGCGTTTGGTGGGTTTGAACCACCAACCTTTTGGTTAGCAGTCAAATGCCTTAGGCACTATGCCACCAGAGCTCCTTAGAATCTAGAACAGGCAGACTAAAAAGTCAGTGAGGATCAGGGCTTACTTGGCTCTGCCATGCTAGGTATGGGGTGATAGGTCTCATTCAAGGTCACCGAGCAAAGTGGAGAGGGAGGATCAGATTGGGGTGCTCTGTGGCAGCTGGTAGTGTAGAAGATGGATGGGAGATTGGAAGGGATGAGTGATGGAGAAGGTCTGGTCTGCATCCATCATGGAGTGGTCCAGGAGGACCAGAAAGGAGATATTCAGCAGTCCAAGGCTCCAGCCTTGTTCACTGCAGGCAGCAAAGGAAGCATATGAGAGGATGTGAGCATAGTGGGGTCAAAGACAGAGGTTTAGAACTGGTGGAAGAGCAAGGCTGGAAGGAGGAGGGTGGTTTGCTCTTTGTCTTGGAGAATTTGGAGGTTTCCTAGAAAGTTGTTAGATAGGTCCCTGAGTTCTGGAAACAGTTTGCACTTGGCTATTAACTGAAAGGTTGGCCGTTCAAAACCACCCAGCATTGCCATGGAGAAACAGACTGGCAATCTGCTTCCATAAAGATTGCAGCCAACCAAACCAGTTATGGAGCACAGTTCTACTCTGTAGAACATGGGGTCACCTGAGTCAGAATGGACTTGATTTCAGTGGGGTTTATTTAGGAAGTTGCATTACATGTTTAAGGGAGGGCAGATCTGGGCTGGAGCTATCACATTCTTAATTGTGGGCATGGTGGAAACCACAGGAGGATTGAGAAAGCCTGGAGGGAGGGAGTGTATAAGAGATGAAATCCCAGCTGGGAAGCTTGAGAAATTCCCAAGTAACCCAGTTCACACTGAGGCAGTAAGTCTGCTGTCCCAGACCTGTGGTTGTGTAACCATGGATTTATACTTAACTTCTCTGAACTTCAGTTTCTTCATCTCTAAGATGGGGATGATGATAACAATAGTTTCAACCTCTTCTATAAGGTTGAAGGTTGAAAGGAGTTAATATATATAACATAGTAGGAATAGTGCTTGGCATATAGTAAGTGCTACACAGGAAAATTTACAATTATTAATACCACACTGCCATCTTCTTGGGTCCAAGCTGTTCACTGCCTGGGCAAGGGGAGTGCCAGATGGCCTCAGCACCATGGGCCAGGCAGTCAGACTGGGTTGTTTTTGCCACAGACTTGGAGAGGGAGCTGGGAGGGAGGAGAACCCACATTCCAAAACCAAAAAAACAAACCGGTTGCTGTGGAGTGTATTGCAACTCCTAGTGACCCTACAGGGCAGAGTAGAAGTGCCCCCATAGGGTTTGCAAGCTGTAAATATGGAAGTAGACTACCACATATATTCCCCCACCCATATCTTTTTCCTGCCAAGCCACTGATGGGTTTGAACTGCCGACCTTTTGGTTAGCACCCAAGCACTTCAACCACTGAACCACTAGGGCTTCTGAGCCCACCTACATTAGGTTTTTGGAAAAGATAGTCCTTGCCCTGCCCAGCTCCAGACCCTGCGGAATCAACTCAGTCCCAGGACTCGGGACTCCACCTTCCACCTCCTCTCGCCGGGTCCCTTCCCATCCCGACTCATTTCCTTGCCATCTTCAAGGGACTGGCTTTGAGTGGGAGCCTCTAGGGGCTAGCCCTACCCTCCTGAGTGCTCCTGCACCCGCACTGCATGGAGGGGATTCCAGGTTAGGGGCACTGCTGTCTAGGCCCGGGGCCTTGGCTTTCAGGAGAAGCCAGAAACTGAGGTAAACTCATTCGCCAAAGCCAAGCAGTTCCGGGCCCAGCGGTGTGTGCCCAGAGACCTCCACTCATCTCCTACATCCATCAAGATGTCCTTCCCTGAAGAACCTCCTTTGCCGTCCTTCCCACCGCCTGGCCGCCCTGGGACTCCACCCATTGAGAAGTCTCTGCGCTCAGTGACCTCCTCGTCCCCTCGCCTCCTCCCTTCAGTCCTTCTTAGCATCCGCTGCTGGAGTGGCGCGCCCTGCCCGCGGTATTTGCCGACTCAGAGTACCGCAACCTAGCCGCAAAACTCCCCTGCTGTCGGTCCTCCCTTCCTCCGACCCAGATCTGCGCCACTGGAGCTGGCTCTCTCCTCTGCAGCGGACCCGAGCAAGCGCGCTCCGCCCCATTCCACCACCCACTGGGACAAGCGAGTCCTGAACTGCTTTGCTCCGAACTCGACGTTCTTGCTTGAGTTTTTGCTCATCCTCAAACCCGGGTCTGCGCCCCCTGCTGTCAACACACCCAATTCGTGTATTTGCACCCCGGGTCTACGTATGGAAGGGGCTAGGTGTGCCCTTCTATCCTTCGTACGCGGTCTGCCCCAGACACTGCTCGGCATGTCCCTGAATCCTTGAGCCCTGCTACTTCCCTAGCCGGTCAAACGCGTCCTGCCTCCAGGGTCGGCTGTGCTGGCTCCTGACCTTGGTTAGCTCTCCCCTAGTGGTCTTCATTCCCCAATTTGGATGTTTACCCCAAGCATCTCTCCCCGACAGGGTTCGTCCCGCCCTGTCGCCCCCTAAAGGAAAACCCAAGTCAACGCGCCGCACCGCCTTCTCCCTAGAGCTGGGACCCTTCCTGGTGCGGTCCACGCCAATCTTCTTGTCCAGCGTGGGGATACGCACGCCCCCAGTCTATGCAGCCTCTCACCTCTTTTTTTTTTTTTTTTTGGATAAGGGCTCTGGCATATCTCTTTGTCTGGGAGCAAGGGTGTGACCTCCCGCCTGCTGCCCGCGCACCCAGCACTCCCGTACCCTATCTCGGCACCCCCACCCCCACCCCAGGCCTGCTCCGCCAGCCTCTGACCCGGATCAGCGAGTCCAACGCCGGACCATCCAGACACGTGAAGTTCCGCAGGAGCGCCCACTTGTCGCGCTGGAATCTGCGGCTGGAGTCCCACTCCAGGCGGCCCTCCAGCGCCCAGAAGACGCCGGTACCCAGCGCCAGGTAAGCCAGGTAGATGAGTAGCAGGATCAAAGTGCCTGGTACTGAGCACGTGCAGCCCCGAGCCCTGCCCTTAGTTTCCATCCCGGCTCGCAGTGCGCACATGGAAGAGGCTGGGAGGCCAGAAGCAGGAGCCAAGGGCAGGCACTTAGGTGGAAAGGAAGGGCCAGGAGCCCTGCTGGTCCCCTCTCTGGCAAGTGCCCGCGTGACTCCAGTTTTCCCAGGCGAGGAGGGGAACTGGGGAATGGGACAGCCCTGCCCCACCCCATATGGGGATCCAATCCCAGGGATAAAAGAAGCCTTGAGCTGTGGGCATCTGGCTCCGCCTCAAATGTGTGGAGTGTCTGTCTTCTCCCGCCTCCCCCTACCTAGATCAGGGAGAAGGGGAGGGCTGCTGGGCTCTGAGAAGGAAGGGGCTCAGAGACCCCAGCATTTCCTATAGTCAACAGTGGGAGAGACTCCTGGAAACCACACTCATGGGGAAGAGAAAGTAGAAGTCATATTTATTGTCTTCAGTCCTCGTTCTACATCTTTAGACTCTGGAACTATCTGCAGGGACTGCCTGTCAAGTTCTTCCAGGATCTCTCACAAGATATTTTCCTTTGTACACCCAAAGAAGAAGAGTCTCAGTTGATCCTTACTTGTCCTTAAGTTTGTGGAGGCAAGAGGGGGCTTGACCACTGTATTTGCCCATTTTCTGCTTCTTGAGGAAAGCTCTAACTCCCTCTTCTATCCAGAATGGAGGTGGGTCCAATTTTGTGTAGAGTCCACAGGCTTTCTCAGTTTCCAGGCCTGTCTTTGAGGTCAGGAAGTTGTAGGGGGTAACCTTGATCCCTCATGCCGCTGTAGATTATTTCTTAGGACCTCCCACCTGGAGGTTCCTCTGCTCTACAGCCTTGCTTCAGTCCTGTCCAGAGGTCCCTAGCCACTTATGGTGAGGACCTACCTTGCTGCTGGGGGTGGAGGGAGAGGGTAGAGGCTGAAGTTTCCAGTCCTTTGTGAGATTGGGCCTTGGGGTAGCCTACCCTCCTTCTGGGCAGAGATGTTGCAATCTGGTGGGAGAAAGGCCAGGGCTGGAGAGAGTATTCCCAAAGGAGTTCAGGCCACCATGTGGCTCATTTCCTGGAAGGCTCCTGGGACCTGCTGGTTGTCTAGCTTCCCAGGGGGTGTTTGGAAAGGCTCTTAAGCAGAGAGGATTCCAGAGGAGGTGTTGAGGTCAAAGGGTGGAGGTTGGGGAGCATGTCCAGAAAAGCAGGTAGAACACCTAAGAGGTCTTGTTCATGGACAGTTCTAGATTTCCAGGCAAGGGGAGCTAGTGAGCTTCAAGAGGCAACTTGCTTACTCCTCAGACTGAGAGCTTCCTGAGGGTGGATAGCTTACTTAAACTAAGACTGTTCCAAAGTTCTTGCCCAGCCCTCTTCCCTGCTGGACCCTCCCTGACAGCCACTCTCATAGGCTCCCACCATCATTGGATTTCAGGCACTGTGTTGAGGTTGCCTCTCTGCTTGTCCAGCCTTTCCCTTTGAGTAGAGGCACATTGAAGGCAGAAACTTTCAGTGTTGTATCCCCAGAGCCAGTATAGGTAGTTGGGCTTGACAAATGCACACTAGGCATGTATTGAGACAAAAATGAAGTCATCCTTTGTTTTTTGTCCTGTATAAGGTGTGGGGGGCTGGCATTGGAGATTTGGCCTCAATGACTCATGTCTGGATTCAACTTGCCCTGGTCACTTTTGAAGGAAAAACGGTCCATTTCCCACTCCATACACACACCTGCCTTTGATCCTATCTCTACACTGCCTCTGTTATTTTCTTGGACATGCCTGTCTCCAGAGAGCCCCTGGGAAGTGAGTAGATTGGGAGAGGAGGAAGTGGAGCAGGAAATCCAGAGGGCTGGAGGAAGCTGGGAGAGGCTGCTTGGGCCACTTGGAGGCCTCAGGCAGAGATAGGGATCTTCTGAGGTCTGGGGGGCCCATCAGTGCCAGAAGAGCCCCCTTCCTTGAGGCTAAGGCCCCTGCTGAGCAGCCAGAGCTGGGAGCACCTGTGCAGAAGCAGGGGACCTAGTGAGAGGATCAGTGCAAGCCAGGCGAGGCCCAGGAGGATCCAGATGGCTGCCAAGCTCCGGTACACTGAGATGTAGTGCTTGCTTGGGTCCGTGCCTAGCAGTGAAGGGGGATGAGATAAATGCCAGGGGTCTGAGGACACAGCTAGCCCAGGCTCCATATGGGCCCCCACCAGCCAGGATGGATTGTTCCTCCTCCCCACAGCTCCTGGTGAACAATTGGGGAAGTGACCATGGGTCCCAGACCAGAGGCTTCTGAGGATGTTGCTGAGAATCCACAGCAGTCTCAGAAATGAACTGTCTCTTCTGAATAACTAGGCCTGCTTATGATCTGCTTATGAAAAACCAACCATTGGAGCACAGGTCTATGCTGACACATGTGGGGTCACCATGAGTCAGAGTTGACTTGACGGCACTGGCTTATCTAATTGTCAACAGTTATCCCCAGCTGACATCACATCTCCCCAACTCCCGAATGCTAGTGGGCCCCCACCCTGAGATATGTGATTGCTTTGTTCTCACCGACAACATAATCTCCGAAGCCGATGGTGCTGAGGGTGATGAAGGCAAAGTAGAAGCCCTCGCCAAAGCTCCAGCCCTCCACGTGGCTGAAGACCATAGGGGGGAAGATGAGAATGACCAGTGTCCCCAGGGTCAGGAACAGAGCCAGGGTCAGGAGGTGCAGGAGCTGGGAGGGAGGGAATACTCTTTGAGTTCACATGGAAGGCTCCAGGATTGGGTCAGGGGGCCTGGGGCAAACTTGAGAGTGCAGCTGGTCCAGAGCCAGGTCCCTTTGCCTTGCAGATCTTTGAGGTGGGAGGTTGTATCTAGGTGTGCATGATCTTGCTCTAGCCAGGGAAAGATTTGAGCAGAGGGATTATATTACTGAGTCCAGGGGGCATTTGGAGACATCGTTGGGCTTGGAGATCATGCTTGCACGGGCATGTACAAGTTGCTGAGGACTTAGTTTTGGGATGGAGGATTGTCACTGAACTGCCCCGAACTACTCTGCACTTTGCCTCTCCTAGTATGCTTCTGGCTTTGCAAAGGATTTGCCAAGGGGGGTTGGTTGCACTGGGGACGTCTTGAGTGGCCTAGAGCTTGTTTTTGACCACAAGAAAGGATGTTGGTGTTTCGTGGTGGACACGGAGATGCTGTGCTCAGATCCTCCTTTACAAAAGGGTATGTTGGCCAGCTGTCATCTCTTTCAGGGCTTCAGCTACAGAGAACCGTCTCACCCTTGGGCCCATAGTAGGTGCCTGATTGAAGCAGAGTATAAAGGCCTGGCTATTTCAGCAACTCTGATGGTGTGTACATGCTGCAGAATTCCTTATGGGATTGGCCAAGTCTTTGCCTGGCCAGCATAGCAGTTCCCCTTCTTCCTCTGTCCAATCCCACATCTGCCCTTACTCTTACGTAAGTACTTATCCCTAGTAACCCGTCCCAGTGTTTGCATCGGGAGAACTGAATCTGCAGATTCTGTAACAGCAGGGTTGTAGGGAAGGAGGGGCCCTACCTGGGAGCGCCTGGGCTGATCCTCCCACCTCTCAAGGATGGCCATTTGGGTGCGTAGCCCTGTACCCAGGTGATTGAGAAAGATCACGTTGAGTGGGATGCCCACCAGGGCATAGAAGACACAGAAGACCTGACCTGCTTCTGTGCTGGGTGCCAGATTCCCATATCCTGTATATGGGGGGAGAGGAATGTGCAAATGTGGGAAGAGACAATTCAGAGCTATCCTTCAACCCAAACTCTTGCAGAAGCTGGTCTCCCATCACCCTAGGAAGAGGAGGCGGTGTTCTCCTGTTCCCATGAACAGCTTTGGTGGACAGTTCCTGAACACTCTGATGATATCCTACCCCAAGCTTCCGCCTCTCTCTACCTGAAAGAGTTTTCTGGCCACAGGATTGTGCTTGATTTGTGGGGGCAGGTCCAAAATGCTGGAGATTTAACATACCCAGGATCAGCCTCCAGCCAACCAGAGCAGGAGTTGGTAGACAAATACCCCCATTTCTCTCTTTAGTCAGTGTGACTTTTCTGAGGATGGGTTCTGCTAGCCTCTCAGACAGTCCCCAGCAGAGTGAGCCCAGTAAACTGCTCATTAATGCATTTCTTGGATTTCCTCTCCCACTCCCCTACCCATGCTTCCTGGATTGTCCTCCCAGATAAACCAAGTCCTTGTCTTAGCATCTGCTTTTGGGGAACTCAAACTAAGACAGGGGCTTTGGGCAAGTCCTCTTCTACCTCAACCCTTTACCTATGGTAGTGACGACTGTGCCTGCGAAGAAGAAACTGCTGCCAAAGTCCCAGTTGCTGGGGTTGGTCGAGTTGCCTTTGGGGTTCACACCCTTCACCCAGGCTTCCATGATGACCTGTGGGAGGGGGATGGTATGGGATAGGGAGGAAGATGGAGCTGACAGTTACTGAGAACTGACTGTTGGCCAAGCCCTGGGCAAGGTGCTTCCATGTCATCTCATTGAATAATACTTTTAGATAGTATCATTCTCATTTCAAAGAAAAGGAGACTAAGGCTTAGAGTGGCTCCAGGTCCTTGGACTCCAAGCCCAGTGTCTGTTCCACTGGCCAAGGCTGATTGAGGCATGGGCTCTAAGCATGGGCTGGTGGAGGGGAAGTGGTGCCTGAGGAGGTGAGGTAGAGGAAGCCAAAGGAGTGCTCTGGGCGAGAGGCTGCAGACGGCTGTGAGGGTGAGACACACATGGGTTGTTAGAACAATAGGAAAACTTCAGGTTGGATGTTCTCAGAAGGAAACATGGGGCTGCCTTCCCACTGTGCTGATGGTTGGGCACAGAGAACTTGGGGTTCCCTGAGTTTCCAGGTGAGCTGGAATGGTATGGTGAGCTGGCAGCCTGCTCTTTGATGCCCTCTAGTGAGCTCTAGCCTGTGCCAACAGGAGAAATTCCATCAGAGGCCAGGACCACCAACCATCTTGTGTGTGTGAGGGATGAATGGGGGAGTGCATGTGTGGTGTGTTCTATGAGTGTGCGGTGTGTGGGTACTTTGTA